GTTATGGTCCGTCAACCAGTTGCCAGCGCAAGAGATTAATATTTTTGCAAATATTAATATTCCTTGAAGCATTTGCCTGAATTTCTGGATTTTCCTGAAAATCATGCTCCAACCATTCGAAATTGTTTTCGTTATTTTCGTCATCAGAATGACTTGGCAAATAGCTCGAACGAATCGATCTTACAATAATACCACTTCCACCATCTTCATCAATATTTGTTGTTTCATCGCTATTACTATCGAAATCCGATAAAGAATCAGTGTATACATCCTCTTACTCCTGCGCACTATATTTAGGTTTAAAAGTTGCTCAGTTTGAAGAAAATGTTACCAGGAATGAAACTAATGATTGACGTCGTTATCTGACGACGTTCATTTCTTCTAATTGCCTGAGTCTTCTTTGGGTTATTCTTTCCAGAAGAGTTATAGAACGGCAGACGTGTTCAGAAGATCAATCAGAAATTACAAGGAGAGGTTTCCAAAATTTCTCATTGTCGTCCACGAGAGTGGTTTCTGGGAAACTCGGTTATCTTTTGGAAACTATCCCGTAGCTTGTACGCACGTGTTTACAACGATAAGTGATTCCGTTGGCCTAGAATATTATACTTACCATTAGCGACAAAATAGTTCCTTCAGCAGTGTATTAATTCTTAGGACGTAATATCTTAGGTCCTGAATATACAATGAAATCATAGTCGCGCGGAAAACTAAAAAGTTAAAATGGTGGATAAATTTTACACAGTCGCGACAGTGGAAACGGGAGATTTTAGAAACAGAGGAATACGAAACGGAAATGTGCCACTCGCAACAGGATCGGCAACTGTCCGTCGAACAGCGTGGAGAGTGGATGGTCCTTTCCTGGGACGTGTCGTCGCTAAACGGTGAAATCGATTATCAGAACAATTCTCGACGTATCGGTATCTCCGTTCCGGCGTCGTGGTTGCCAGCAATCCTCTGCATATTGATCCAAGGAATTATAGAGACACCGCAAGTACAAACGTCCTGATTTACGCTGATTAATTACCCGATGTTTGACCTAATTGAACGCGTCTTGCCGCGCGCGATTCGATAATTCGGTCTTAATGATCCGATTCGCAGCGTTGTACGTGCCGTGTGCGACATCTGCTCGTTCGATGACGTTGTTACGTTTGCAAAGAATGCAAATATACAATCGATGTTCACTCGCATCTTTACTGCCGAACGTCATTTATGGTCCCCAGTCCCTTCTAGCGACCACGAAATTTCCAGAAGCTGTTCGTTTTATATCTTTCCTTCAACGTGAACTCTACGCGCTATCGACTTTTTTTTTTTACTTTACACGTTGTAAGGGCATAATTGAAAACTGTGCTATACAAGTTGTACAAAAGTTTTATTCAAACAAGACGAGACTCTCCACTTGTTGATGTGAAAATGCTGGGCTAAAAACTGACGGTGAGGGTCCTTTTTGCCGCGATTTGTACATTGTGCTTGGCCCCAAAGTAGGTACTTTCGGTTGACTCGTACCTGACGAGTTTCCATTAAAGTTACAATGTCGAAGAAACACTGATCGACAATTTCAACGAAGATTACAAGGCGAAGAAAGAAATATTGTTTTTTATCCAGCCATTCTCTGCTCTATCTCAATTTAAACGCGAGATTACGCTACATGAATTAAGTATAAATTAAGTAACGTTACATGAATTGAACGCGAGCGGGCTGTTTGCACATCTAGACGATGTCCCTCGAGCAGCAGATTCCTACCTGCTTCGAGATGGTAGTTATATTACGTGTTAAAGCGGACGAATTATGTTGCTCGAACGAAATTTACAACTGATCGCAGTCGGTTCGTTTACTCCGAAACGAGGGAAATGCATGTAGTTTCGAAATGACGACACTCGATCGTACAATCTTGCTTTTTCCCGTTCTTTTTGACGTTTCACTGGTCAGCATTGGAAATCAAATTTTTTGATATTTTGGACTGTTTATGCGAGATAGTATAGTGAGGATGAATCGCTAATTTTTTGTTAACGACCGAAACTCGCATCTCGAATCGGATGATATAGCGTCGCGTGACGAGGAGAATAAACGAAATGCATCCATCAATTGAGAGAGAAATAACTCCAAACTATTGACAGAGAGGTAATCTCTGAATTTTAAACGTCAACGTAACTTCGAACACGTGATCTATCTTTCTGTAATATTAGAATAAGTCGGGGAGTGATGGCCCGTCCACTCTTCTTTATCTCAAATATAATCGATATCTAAAAAATATATATATGCGTATGTATTTGTGAAAGTAAGTACATATAAATTTGTAATGCTACTAGCAGAAAATTAAAAAAAATAAATTCACGAAATAAAAGAAATAACGCTTTATGCGAAAGGCTGTTATTCAACTGTAGGACCGTCTTATCTATATTAAAAATATTTCTCGGTCTGTTGCGAGAGATTTTCTTACCTTGGCTTTGGAGACTTTCTGATTTCCAGACACTGAATTGCGTTTCAAAAACATGCTTGGCCAATCATATCCAGCCAATCCTTTTTCCTTAATTAAATTTATGATTTATCTCCAGATTTTTCACTCAAATTAAATGCCATAGTACTTACTCACGTGTTGATACGAGACTGTATTTTTGCAACTTTTTGACATTCAGGGTAATACAGGATATTGTGCAATCTTTATTATTAAAAAAATTACTTTTATCGATATTTAGATTTTTATTTCGCAATCTTAGTGTTACAAAAATTTCAATCATGACGGATCGCGACGGTGAAGAATTTTTCAATGAATTATACGCAAACGTTTTATCTGATTGTCCGAGTGACTTTGAAATATATTGTAGCGATGTGGAAATTGATAGTTTATCGCAGCAAAACCAAATATATTTGCGAAACCTGTTGTATACCACTACACGTAAGTGATTGCTATACAGTTTATCACACCAAAAAAAAAAATTACTAAAATATATTACACGTATAAAATATAATAAGAGACATACAAAGTTTTCCTTAAATTCATTCTGTATAAATAAAATATATTAAAGTTTATCTAAATTGTTTCACTTTTATACTCAATTACGAAATAATAGTCGGTGACATGAGACGTAGTAGTTTCTGTGTAAAATTGCCGGTCAACAATGTGTTAAGTTTTTCCTCATTTTCCGTACCTAGCAATGAAGCTGATTTGAACATTTTGTTTGAATAATCATTATTTTTCTTTTTAACGCAGGAGCCGGAATGTCAAAAACTCTTCACGCCCATTTTGTCACTATGAAACTGCCTCTATCCAACAATTCCTCATTTATCCATAATTCTTTATTGTTAGATTTTCTTTTGTATTCAGTTGACTTGATTCTCTAGAAAAATAACTGAACTCTGTGAGTGATGACTCGCTTATTCCTTTTTTTTTTTTTTTTTATAATGAAACGACGATATCTCGCATTGTAGAATTGTCACCATAGCCTCTAAACGCTGTACTATAAAAGTCATTACTTTTTGGCAAAATGTTAGTAAATTATAGCTTAAAGGATGAGCAGAACATTTTTGAGACTATCTCGAAACTTATCTCTTTCTTTTTTTCGAATGGAAACGAACAAGTGATGAACGATATACACCACTAAAAAAAAAAGCTGTAAATTGAAATTTAACAAGCTACGTAACCTGGAAATTACCCTATATGGTAAAAAAATCTACGAGCGGAGATGATTCGTTCAGTATTCAGTGTTAATTACACAGGAGGAAATTCTAGCCAATATCGTTCGCTTGCAAACGATACAGACTCGAAATTATATACCATCATTTCGGCGCGACTGATCAAGCTGTACGCTTTCGTTGGTGCGACGTGTTCCCGGATAGTCGTTACGGACGCCTGGATAATCTCTATGTTTAAAATGATGTCCAATTATCGAACCAATTATCCGACTAGACCGCTGTGCTGCAGCCGCGTTTGCCTTCATAAAAGATACAGAATCGACGCGTTCTGATAGCGGTGTTAATTAAACGATAGGGTTGAAGGCCGAGGGCGCGCACGCGTGTCCGACTGCGGGACTCGCCGAGGATTCCCATGGAAACGGAGCATCGTCGGTTTCGCGCTAATAATGTCCTCGGTCGAGCCCTCGTGCGCAAATGGCCCGCAAACAGCAATACGCGTACGGATACTTACCCAAGGGTTATCACTGCGCCGACGTGTAATAGACGTAGTTTAACGCTCGGTGGTGGACGTTCGTCGACTGAATCCACGAAGATCGACTGTAGATTCCACGCAAGGTGGAGTGGAACACAAGCAAGTTGGCAAATAAGGTATTTTGTAACTCCTTGGGATCAACCAAGTGCAAACAACTCGACAATCCACGGTTCCCTCGAACGCGTGGAAATTTGGCCAAAGATTGATTTTAGTTGTTTCTCTTTAGGGCGAAGATATACACGTTTATCGATAGAATGTCTACAGCTCGAACAATTTAATCCCTCTTACGGCAAACACGCTCGAATTGCGCGAGATCTATTTGTCAGTTTAGGAAGTACAACTTCCAAACAGATCCACGATTGATAGTCCTCTTTGGTCTTGGCGTTTGGCGCACAGAGCATTACGATCTCGGGGACACTTAACACCCGACGTTATTTGGATTTCGCAAGCGTTCGCTAACTCCGACCGCAGTGCTGAGGTTAGGCCACCTCACACATACACATACACATACACGTACGCGCGCGCAGCGAACGTTGAAATGGTGCGAGCAGGTGAAATGCGCGTAGATTATTGCACTTCGAAGAGCAAGCCAGATTATCTGGCAGATCGTTAAATAGCAGATAGAACGTGGACTAGACGGAACACGCCGTGACCCACGTGAGCCAGGTACATACTATGGTTGCAGGCTGCTGCTGCTGCAACGTTCCGATATTCTTCCTCGTGGGCAACCCCGTGTGCAACGTGTGCATGCATGCACCACCGGGTCACCGATATAATAGAGGCTGACGTGAACGGATCTCCAGGGGTTCTCTGACCTTCCCCTTTGTAGGGTCGCATGACGAAGCTGGCCGACTGTGTTCTCGTAGCTTTACGTCGTACAGTTGTTGTGCCGTTCTCTCCCGTGACCCCGTTGGTGCCATTATCAGACCGTGCATTCCTTCTTTTCTCTCTCTCATTTCTCTCTTCACGCAGTTTTTTCTTTCTTTCTTTCTTTCTTTTCTCATGGGTCAGCCTCGTCCTTTCCCCCTCGCCCCGGAGGGGGTTTCCTTGTCTTAGCGGCTCGATTCAAACTTCACGGCTGTTTAGACTTTACGTCAAATATTTGAACTGGACCCTGGCTTTGATTTGCCGGACTCCATCAGCGGGTAATCCGAAACCCCTTGATCCCGTCTAGACCGCCCTTGGTCCCTATGCTGGTATCCTATCAACCTAAATTAGTTCCGACCCGCCTGTGGACCCTGCCGTGGCCACCCTCCGTCCGTTTTGCCTCGTTTGGGTCCATCGGCTCCGTGGATAGATCCCTTTAGATTTTTCAACCTGGCAACGGCGGGAGAGGGGATCGAGAAGGGACCTAAAAGGGGGGAAGGGGGCTAGATAGAAGAGAGTAATGGACGCAAATTGCGGAGGGTTCAGGTGCTCGTGAAGTACCTTGTAATCGGTTTAAAGGCGGTCCCTTTGGTGATATTTTCTTGATCCTGCAGTCCATCTAATAGAATTTTAAAGAAGAGGAATTACGCTGCCCGGCCGTTTCTCGAGATTAAAAAGCCTGCGGAAAGGTACTAAAACGTTGACGTAACGTTGCGTAAATCACTTTACTTCCCTCGTCCCGAGTGAGCGTGTTGTCACTCTATATGCGCATAACAGCCATCAGGAAATCAGAATCGACCCCAGCGGACGATTTTGAACCGTGACACGTGATTTCTAGACGGGGTTGCCAGTCCTCAATGCAGGCGCCCGGATTTAATCTAATGGCGTGTAACGCACCACCAGGCTTTTGATATTCACGCGTGCCACCGCGTTTCACCTTTAGGATCTTGCGGTTGTCTACAACATGTACAGGGATTCTCGTCAGGGACTGTTGATCGTCGCGTATCGTCTTGGTGTTTCTCGCAATGACTAGTTAATAGAATTCCCTAGTACAATCGTTTTCCCGTTTTATTTAATTTTGACGTGAATTTTTGTTTACAATAGAATAATCTTTCAACGTTCTTAACAACGATAACTACTTGAATTTTCCCGCTCGAATTTCTATTAAATTTCGATGTGAATATTTTGTGATAAAATAATTTCTGTTCTTCAACGACAAATAATCAAAGCATCTTTGAAAGAATTTCTCCTAAGAGTTCGATCCACAACTTGAATCTTTTGTTGCGAAATTTTTCCTGTTCTATTCAATTTAGATGTGGATTTTTCACGATGAAATAATCTTTCGCGTAAAAGAATTTTTTCTTCAGAGTAACTACCTCAGAATTTCCTGTTGCAAGATCGTTCCGTATCTATCGAATTCCGATAGGAATTCTTCACGATAAAATAATCTTTGTTCCTCAAGCATCTTCGAAACAATTTTATTCCACATAAAAGGATTTGCCCGAAGAAACCGATTCGCAACTTGCAACAACTGCTTGAATTTCGCCGCTCGAAACGTTGTAATTTCCATCGGATCTCGACGTGGATTCTTCACGAGAAAACAATCATTGCTCCTCAACGACCGGCAACCGACAAGCACGGTTCAGAAAACATTTTCATTCGAAATAGAAGAATTTTTCTTTCCCAAGTCCTTACTCCGATCCGCTTTCTTCCCAATTAAACGCACGCTGAAAGTGTTCGAAAATCGTAGCGTAAGAACAGCACGATTAGAGCGTAGGGGGATATACGGGGTTGGTCGGTTTTTCTTCGCAGGTATGTATCAACAGTCGTCTCGCACGGAAGAGGGCAGAGAGGGGAGGGAGGGTCGCGAGTACTCTTTTCTAACTTACAGCGAAGAGTCTCGGTTGTAAATGTTGGAGAGAACAAAGGTGGTTTGAACACGCAGCCTTTACACAGCGGTGGAAAAAAGGGTAGAGATAGATAGATCGGCGGTTCCGTTTGCTTGTTACGTGGTTGGTACGTCTGGGACAATATATGCGTGCGCACACGCGAGCTGTACTCGCTGCTCGCTGCTTATACGGCATTACCATTGCTGGTAATCCGGACGATAGCGTACCGTATCTTGCGCGCCGTCGTGGCTCGTTGTTCGGCATTATGAGCCGAGGGACTAATACGGACGAAGATACTCTGGCGCTCCCAGAAACACACTATAGAAATCCGAATCTTCGCGCAGATGGCAGATATTTCATAAATAATTCGCTCGGCGTAACTGGCGAGAGCGGGCGTGAGAACCACGTGAGGGGGATTTCTCTGCTTCATGCTCGATTCCTCTAGCTGTTGAAACGTTGCTTTCAATGGGCCTGGCTTTTCCGCTGTCGCTCGTTATCCTCGTTTCGACGGTGATTTTCGACGATAGCCCTCGATATCACGCGGCCAAATGTTACGTTCGTCGGGCTGCCGCTTGCGAAACGTTTTACGAATTATTCTTACTATTCTACGTACGTGGAGATCGATGTTGGAAATTTTGTCGCCGCTTGGGAAACAATGGGGAAACAATGAAGCTCGGACACCAAGCTTCGGATTAGATTGAATTAGAATTTACGTAGAAAACGTGCGGGCTGTTTTACTTAGCCCCTGGGCTCTGTGCTTTAAACTGGTGAATATTACGCTTCGCAGAATATTTGCATTAAACGTGTTACGTACGTTGATGAAAGCTCACGCGTGTTTGAGCTACGCAGAGCTTAAAAATATATAATGATGTAGCAACTGAGTAGGCGTTGATTTTACTTATATGTTCGTGCCTTATTGAATCCAATTAGATCAGCAAACATCAGCTTGCACGAAATATTTTACTTTATCG